TGTTTATTGCAAACTGCCAAAAAGCAAGAAACTTCAGTTACAAACAAGTAAAGAAGTTAATGGAAGTACTGAAAGAGCTTATGAGCTCAGAAGACAATGCAAAGGAAATACAGTTGAAACTGGTTGAATTTAAGAAGTTGTGTGATGAACTAAAAGAAAATCACAAATCATGAACTGACCTTCAACTGCCTGAAGAAGAAATGGGAAAGCAAAGGCAGTGGCTGCAAGAAAAGATGCATATATTTGATGGATTTATACAAGATGCAAATGTGTGGTTATCTGAGAGTGGACAGGCAATTAGACACTCTATTGTGGGAAGTGCAATAGAACAAAGTGTCAGCTCAGATGACATCGGACCTGATGACAGCATTTCAAATGCATCACACCCTCAGTCAAAATACAAACCTGGTTCATCACACGCATCATCTACCTCTTCTGCTCGAATTAAAGCCCAGGCAGAAAGGGCGGCTTTAATCGAAAGGGCGGCAGCACTGAACAGTCAACATGAGCTTGATGTAGAAGGGGAACAATTAAAACACCAGAAACAACAGTTGGAACAACAGGAAGAACAGGTGAAACGGAAAAAGGAACAACTGGATATACAAACTAAGCTGGCAGAAGCCAATGCCAGGCTAAACGTGCTCAGCATGGGATCAAGACACACCTCTAGAGCATCAGATGGGATGAGCTCTTACTACAGAAACCCTACAGCAAGATGTAACGTACAGGCCACTGAATTCTTGCCTCATCAAGCCCAAACCTCTATTCCCAGACAAAGTATACAGACACATGTGCAGGGACATGTTGACATCACACCACCTGTAATCAACAATGGTAATCAAGGTGACATCTATAACCTAATTCAGAGGCAAAATGACAACACTGCTATGCTGGCTCAACAACATCTCACTTCTACTTTACCTCCAAGAGACATTCCTGTTTATGACGGTGACCCATTGCAGTTTGAAGCTTTCATCCGTGCATTTGAAAGAGGAGTAGAGCGGAAAACTAATGATGAAAGTGACTGCCTGCATTACCTAGAGCAATACACTAGAGGACAACCACAGGACCTAGTGCGCAGCTGCCAACATCTGCCTCCAGCTCAAGGTTATCAGAGGGCAAAACAGCTGCTTAAAGAGCACTTTGGTAATGAACATAAGATCGCCACTGCATACATGAACAAAGCATTTACCTGGACAATGATCAAAGCCGAAGATGTGAAAGCACTGCAAGCCTTCTCTTTGTTCCTAAGAGGTTGTTGCAATGCAATGGAACATCTCACCTATATGGATGAAATGAATGTTGTTTCAAACATGAAACACATACTTCAGAAACTACCCTACAAATTCAGAGACAAGTGGAGGAATAGAGCATGTCAGCTACAGGAAGAGCGTGGGCATCGAGCTACATTTCCTGACCTTGTTAGCTTCATAGAGAGGCAAGTGAAGATACTGTCAGATCCTCTGTTTGGAAGCATCCAGGATGATAAACCAACTGCTCTATCAAAACTGTTATCTCTACCTTTTCAAAGGGAAAACCAAGCCTAAGGGGAAGTAGTTTTGCAACAATTATTACCTGCCCAAGAACACCAGTGCTAGAACATGTAACAACGAATGGAATGAAAATACCTCCATCAAGCCACAACTCCCTACATTTGTGTTTGTTCTGCAGAATAAGTGGTCACTCATTGGAGCAGTGTCCACACATCCTGAAGAAAACACACAGAGAAAAAATTGACTTTTTGAAAGGAAAAGGGGTGTGTTTTGGATGCCTAAAAATAGGACACATGAGCAAACACTGCCACAGTCGTTTGACATGTTATGTGTGCAATCAAAGTCATCCTGAAATACTCCACATTGAACAAAAAGGCAAAAGAGAGGAAGCAGAACACACAAAACAGAATGGGAAGCCAATGGAAAGTAATAGTGTCATCTCACCTCATACATGTGGTCACATTGGGGCCGGTGATGAAAACTCCATCTTCTCCATTGTACCAGTACAAGTAAAGAGCCACAAAGGGGACAAAGTGTTACAAACTTATGCATTTCTGGACCATGGAAGTTCATCCACCTTTTGCACAGAAAGTTTAATGAGGAGGCTAAACCTTACAGGACAAAGGACTAACATTCTCCTAAAGACAATGAATCAGAGAAAGATTGTGTCTAGTCATCATATCTCAGGTTTGGAAATATCGAGTCTGGACGAAAACAATTTCCTTCAACTATCCGATGTGTTTACACATAAAACCATGCCTGTTTCCAAGCACAATATTCCTCTACAAGAAGATCTGGAAAAATGGCCTTACTTAAAGGACATCAAAATTAATGAAATTGCTTCTGGCATTGACCTACTCATTGGGACAAATTCTCCTAAGGTATTGGAACCTTGGGAGCTGATCAATAGCCAAGGAGAAGGACCGTACGCTGTAAAGACCCTACTGGGGTGGGTCTTCTATGGTCCCCTAAAAGGAAGCAACGACAGCAGAGATGCTAATGGCCACCCTGTTGCTACTGTCAATCGGATATCCATGGTACACCTAGAGGAGCTATTGGTCAAACAATACAATCATGACTTCAATGAAAATACAAGTAAGGAAACAGAGGAAATGTCCAGAGAAGACAAACAATTCCTGAACATTATGAATCACTCTGCAAAAACCACAGATGGACACTACTGCCTAGACTTACCATTTAGACAAGAAAATCCTAGCATGCCAAATAACCGATGTGTCGCTGAGCAGCGTATCCAAGGCCTGAAACGCAAGTTTGGAAAAAATGAGAAATTTCACGATGAATACACTTCCTTTCTGACGGAAATGATCAACAACGATTATGCTGAAATGGTACCAGTAAACCAGCTAAAGCCAAGTGATAACAAGCGTTGGTATATACCTCACCATGGGGTATATCACTCGAAGAAAGGAACATTAAGGGTGGTCTTTGACTGTGGTGCTGTCTTCAAAGGAACATCACTTAACTGCCAACTGCTTCAGGGTCCACATCTAACAAACTCACTCATTGGAGTCCTTATCAGATTTAGACAAGAACCAGTTGCCTTAATGGCTGACATCAAAGCAATGTTTCATCAGGTTAAGGTGTCAAAGCCATTGACTATCTGCGATTCCTGTGGTGGCCCAACGGTGATGTGCAACGGGATCTTGCTGAATACCGGATGAAGGTACATCTTTTTGGAGCAGTATCATCACCCAGTTGTGCAAACTTCACATTGAGAAAGACTGCTGAGGACAACAAAGATAACTTTACAGCAGATGTGGTAGACACAGTTAAAAATAACTTCTACGTGGACGATTGCCTAAAATCCATGCCCTCTGAGTCAGAAGCAGTAAAAATGGTAGGAGAACTGATTGCTCTCTGTCGAAAGGGAGGATTTATGCTGTCAAAGTGGATCAGCAACAGCCGTGCAGTATTAGCATCCATTCCACAACAAAGCAGAACCAAAGAGACCAAGGACTTGGACTTGGATAGGGACAAGCTACCAATGGAAAGAGCACTGGGATTGCACTGGTGTGTTGAAACGGATGTGTTCAAGTTCAAAATTGCTGCACAAGAATGACCATATACAAGACGTGGCATCTTGTCTGTTGTCGGCTCTATATACGACCCCTTGGGATTTCTGGCACCATTCACCCTACCAGCCAAACTGATCATGCAGGAGCTTTGTAGGAAGAAACTTGGATGGGATGAAAACATACCACAAGCTTTAGTTCAACAATGGTCAGGATGGCTAGCAGACATCAATAAGATGGCAGAGTTTCAAGTGGACCGGTGCATGAAGCCAACAAGCTTTGGTCATGTCAGACATGCACAACTGCACCACTTTTCTGATGCTAGTGAAAGCGGCTACGGCACTGTTTCATATCTAAGACTGGAGAATGATAACAAAGAAGTGCATGTTTCATTCATAACAGGAAAATCCAGAGTGTCACCATTGAAACAAGTTACAATTCCCAGAATGGAACTTACAGCAGCAGTCCTGGCTGTCAAAATCGACACAATGCTGAAGAACGAATTACAGCTGCAACTGGACCAATCCGTCTTCTGGACTGATAGCACTACCGTGCTAAAATACATAAAAAACGAAAACAAACGCTTTCAAACATTTGTAGCAAACAGGATCTCTCTTATAAGGGATGCCACGGATGTATCACAATGGAGGTATATTGGAACAAAGGAAAATCCTGCAGATGAAGCCTCTAGAGGACTAAAGGCAGACCAATTCTTAAACTGTAGGAGATGGATCAAGGGACCTGAGTTTCTCTCCAAGCCAGACAGAGAATGGCCAAACTCTCATGTGGATTCAGATATCCCTGGCAATGATCCAGAAATCAAGCAGGACATCACAATGAACGTCATTGTCAAAGATTCATTGAGCCCCACAAACTCTCTGATAAACCACTTCTCATCATGGAGAAAACTGAAGACTGCTGTAGCCTGGCTTCTTAAAGTAAAAATGACACTCTTGAAGCTGAGACATAAAGAACAGCAAAGACCGATGACCCTTAAAATAAGGGAGAAGAAGAAAATAAACTACAAATTATTTAAGAATTACATGCTAACACATACACACCTTTTGTATAGCTCCTTTATTATTTATTGGTAATTGTCTTTTTTCTCATACTAAAGCCAATTAGGGGCCGGTGTGTAGGAGCCATTTTGTGGGTGATGTTGGTGTGTCAGTTTATTTAAGTTATATGTATAGTGCAATATTATTTATGAACACTGGGTGGCGGGGTTTAGCTGCACCGGGTGTATATAAGGAGGTCATAGGTGACAGGAGAGGGGTGGACACAGTAGGAGAAGAGCATACCGATTCCACCAGCCCGGCAGATGCTCATAGAATCACTAGAACGCTAAATTAACCCTGGTATGTAAAGACGAATAAACATCATCATAAACCACAACTAAGGACCGGAAAATCATCTGTTTGTGTCTGCGTCTGGATCACTTTTCAACCCTTCTGTGAAAGTAACGGCAAAAATATATAGGACATAGGAAAAGGAAATTGCCATTACACTAGTTACACAACATCAAACACAGGCACAGAGTCCAAGGTTTAGAGGGTGTGAGAATTGTACCTGCCTTCGTGTTTGAAGGCGTGAGACCCTACGTAGTACAAACAGCTGACTGAGCAGCCCCCGAGGTCCCATACTTGATATAAAAAGAGGCACTGATGTAAGACCGAGAGCTTCTCTGTGACTTACAGGATGAATACCCTACAGGTTATTTTTCTCTTGGCTGCAGGCCTCTCTGTCAGTGAGTACAACTCTACAAAAGTTGTTCCTCTTGGTGGTTGTGAACAGATAGAGCTTGTTGTTGAGTAAAACTGTGTCTTTTTGTTGCGTTTTAGCCCACTCACTGGACTACAGGGCTCTGACTCAGTTCAGGAGGATGATCCTGTGTGTGATGCCTGATAGCTGGCCTTTTTCCGACTATGCTGACTACGGCTGCTTCTGTGGAAAGGGAGGCTCCGGCACACCTGTGGATGATGTGGATAGGTCACGATTCACTCTGCGTTATACTCAAGAGATTGAAAAAACTACGTTGTCCAGTCTGTTTAATATTCAACTTGACCCATAGGTGCTGCCAAGTGCACGATCTGTGTTACAACGAAGCAATGCAACACCCTGAGTGCTGGTTCATCATCAATAACCCGTACACCCAGTTCTACAGCTACAGCTGCGACGAGCCAAACAATAAGGTCTCCTGCGGCAGTGAGTACACCAAAACAACAGGACCAAAATTACTCTCTGGTACTTTAACTTTATAGGACTGTTTGTCTGCCTTGTGGTACTCAGAATGCTCTCTGTTTCATTATCCTTAGGCGACAACAACGCTTGTGAGATGTTCATCTGCGAGTGCGACAGGAAGGCCGCAGAGTGTTTTGGCGTATCGCCTTGGAACCCTGAGCATGAGCACCTGCCCAGCGACCGCTGTCACTGAACAGAAAAAGTGATCCATTCGTTAATTTGTTGATTTCTTACTATAAATATTCACCTTATACATTTTCACGTAAAGTATATGGTGACGTATACCAATCCATTTATCCCAACCTGTGCTGATTACTGTAATTGTGTATGTAATTGTAAGGATATCCTGAAAATAAAGACACATTCATCTGGATCTCATTATAACATCACATGGTATTTAGGGCTCTATAGTCTACCTTTGGTTTTCAGCATTAAAACAGCAGTACAGTACAGTACAGCATAGACTCAGAACATTTGACATCTTTCTGTAAAAGTCCCAAAATGTTATATTGGCTTGTATATATATAACAAAATAGCATTTTTTTAAAATAGTTTTTTCACCCAATAAGCTTTTTCATTTTTTTAAGAATTCATATTTAGATACTTCAATGCCTTGTAAACTTTGATTATCTTGAACATAAGACATTGCTGTATTTTCAGATAGCATGTAGAAAGATTCTTTCCTCCAACTACTTGAGGGAACGGTTTTCTCCAAAAATATCAACAAATATACCAAAAATAATTTTTTGTTCAAAGCAGCTTTTTGCCAATAAGTTGAACATTAAAATCAAGTTGTTGCCACTTAAAGCGTTTATTTGAAATATGCCTGGCAATAAAGTACTAAAACACCATGTGGTGCTTGAGTTTATTGCTAGAGTGAGTAGGGATTGGATCATAACGCAGTTGCCGATATAAAGTTAAAATGGCGATACAAATAAACGACAAACAATTTCAGTAGGTGTATCGCCGAGAGTCCTCTGCAAACTAATGCTCAGGTAAAAACTTCTCAACACACAGGCCTGCCTCAATTTTGTTGCGGAGTCAACCTTTTACTTCCTGTTACCTGATGATTGTGGCCAATCAGGGAAGACCTCTGGAATTAGTGACACAGGTGGCATCAATCAGTCGTCGTTTGGTTATAATTTGAAGTCGATTATGCTTGGCCTCTCAAAAATACATCCATATTGTTAGTAAAGTTTATTAAAAAAAAAGAACATTCCCTCATTTTGGAATGGTTAACATTTTAGCAGAATAAATACCTATAAAATAAATTTGTAAGGGAAAGTGTGGTCTTTCTTTTTAAATATTCATACCAACGTTAATTCAAGAAGAGTCCATTAATTGAGTGGGGAAAATATGCTCCATCAAAGACAGTTAAAATATTCAAATGCTTTATTGTCTTATTTACTCAGCTTCAGAGTAGTTTGGCAATACAAAGCTTAAGTCCCAGGCTCCTCCGACAGTCCAACATACAATTTACTTAAGACATCAAAAGAAAAAAATAGTGCAAGTGGCACAATGGTGCAAGTGAAATGCAGCGACAAAAACATTAAGTAATATTAAATAAGATGTAAAAATAAATACTTTAAAGTTGAATAAATGACTATACTAATATACAGTATAAATATGTGGACTATAAACAGAAGTATGTTCTACAAGCAAAACAAAAGTATATATTCTTATAACTCATACTAAATACAGTCCCACATTTAAAGTTACATTGTGATAGTGGCTCATAAATAAAAATAGAAGACTACCTGATGTGAATTCACAGATGTGCGGGGACACTTTCTCCTGCCTCTGTAAAGTACATGTACTTCTGAACACTCTGATCCCAGTGCTCATCATATCATCAGCGTTCATATCACCAACACGTTTAACTCTGGGATTTTCCACGTCTCTGTACATATGTCAACTTGCAGACCGGTCCCATGATTATCTCTATAATGGACATTAGGGTACATGCTGCTTGCTGTGTAAAATAAGACATTCAGTGACATAATAATTGTAAGGGAAACTTATGTGTAGCAGCAATGCAGTGGGAGTCACCGACTCAGGAAACATACTAAACTAACATAGAATCATAACACCTCTATCAGCTGGAACAGGGAGACAGAACACTGAGAGCACAGCAGCCAAGGTTACGAGGTGCGTGTGCTCAGTCAGGACAGTTTGAACAGATAAACTGGGTCAAAGTTATGGGCCTTGGAAAATATTCCCCAACAATAATGTTAACACATGTTTGAACAGGATTCCTCAACATTTCCTGACCTATGACCCCATGTTTAAGCTACAACCAGCTTAGAGTGGTTATGTGAATTTAAGCATTGTAAACATTTATATTTTCCAGAGAATTAAAGCAGATCATATACCAAATTTCAGACAGCTAAAACCTTAAAGGTGGGGTAGGTAATTTTGGAGAAACCAGCTCGAGTGCGCTAGAATTTGAAAATACACAGCCGGAAAAAATCTGCCACTTCCTTCCAGAGCCCCTCCTCCAACACGAACGCGCACATGACCAATGAGGGCACGAGATAAGTTTGTGCCCAGATGGAAGGCTGACAGGCAGGTAGGCCATCCAGTTATTTTAACCGGGCCGGCTCAGATGATTGGTCGTGCTTTTTACAGTACTACGGCTTCCATAGATGACATTTTTGTATGGATATTTTGTCAAAGCACAAGATATTCATTGCTATCAGGATGTTAAGAGCATTCCATGGAATATAACAAACAGTGTATCTCGAGCCGGTTTCTCAAACTTACCTACCCCACCTTTAACTAATGATATTAACTTTGAATGCTAGTTTTTTTAAGTATTAAAATCTAATAATGAAAACTGTATTTAAATACTTAAAAGTAGAAGTACCCAATGCAGAGAAATGGCCCCTGTGAATAAACATCATTACTAATAAATGCATGTCTATAAGGGATTTTATATTTGATTTGGCATTGTTTGAGGCTGGGCTCATTTTAACAATGCATTTCCACTCATTTTGCACAAAGAACTGCAACCAATGTTAACCTGAATTAAGGCTTAGTCTGTAGATTTCAATGTTTATCAAATGTACAATAGTGAGACATTATATCATAATTAGCTACAGACCAAAGTTACAATGCATATGTATGTCTGCTTGCTTAAAGACCTACTATGTTTGCAGAAAAAATTGTTGGTTTTGCATACAGAAGAATTATCAAAATATTTGTTCAATAAATGTATTGTCAATCAGTTAATCTGCTTATTGTTTCAGCTGTTCATTTTATTAGGTTTTATACAGTGGCATGAGAGGAGAATACTAAAGTTAATGACAACCTCCAATCCTTACATTCCTTTATATTGTGCTGTACCAGTCACATCCTACCAATGACTCATCATGTAGAGACACAAATACCTTTTATAAAACATAGCCCTCACGAGAAGCTGTTGATATATTTCAAGCCTTTAAAACATAACTAAAACTCCTATTTCCATATCTACTGTTCAGCCCTGCACATGGATCCATAAGCCCATGCTGAGGAACTCTAGTATAGACAAATCACCAACAAACCAAACATGGCTCAGGGTTCAATAAGTGTGAGAATTGTGCATGCTTTAACATATGCTGTTGGAATCCTAGAGTCCATACATTGACAATCCCTACACCGAATTATACAGCTACAGCTGTGACAACAAGGTCTCCTGCGGCAGTGAGTACACCCAAACAATGTGAATTATCTTCTCACAAGATCTTTTTAAATAGTACATTTACTATTAAACCTGCAGAAATATGACTTCCCCCACCAATTGTATCACTATACTATTGTATTGGGTAATTCTAACAGGGGTCAAATATTTAGATGTCAATGAGAATACATTTTTTTAATTCAATACTTTTTTAATTAAAGGATTTTTTTGTTGGCTTTTTGATCATCTTTTCTACGAATGTGAGATGTTCATCTGTGAGTGCGACAGGAAGGCCGCAGAGTGTTTTGGCAGAACCCCCTGGCTCCCGAAGAACAAGCACCTACCTAGCGATCGTTGTCAGTGACAACAAACAACTGGAAAATCAGGAATTCATGCTTCATCATGAAATATCAAAATGTCAGTTTTCACAGGTCACAGATCAACTTGCTGAGGAGACTTGGCTGATTAGAAAATGATGAATATAACATTTATGCATTCACAGATGCATGTATATTGATTTCTGTATACATTTGACTTTAGTTACTTATAGACATCCATCATTACCTCAATATACTGAAATGCTGTTGTTTGTTTCTTAAATGTGAAGTTATCCTCTAATAAACACAGTTTGAGCTGCATCTCTTATTTTAAATGCTGTTTACTGATGGCCACTTATAAAAAGGGCTCTAATCAAGAGTCACCCTCTGGGTCTGAAAAGTGAAACCAAAGGGAAAGTGCCCTAAACCTGTATTCTCTCTCAAAGCCAGCAGGGGGCAACTTCTCTAGATCAGTAGTCTGATTTTATAGAAGTCTATGAGGAAATTACCCTAATTGGTATGACCTCAGTAAACTTGTTAACAATCGCTTGTTGAAAGCCTCTTAACTGATGTTCATTGTATAAAGGATGGTGCCATTGAGAGTACAATAGACAATAAAGCAATAAATGCTTTTAGGGTTCGGCAGCCTTGTGTTTGACAGGTCGTTACCATGGTGCTGTCCAGTTTGGGTGCTCTCCGTGGTTTCGTGTTAGACATTTGAATTTCAGTTTGTGCTCTGATTGGTCAGCTCACCCACTCTGTTCTGATTAGTCAACCACCGTTACAGCTGAACATCAGTGTTTATGTTTTACAATGGCAGTTGTTAGCAACTAGAAAATGACACCAATAATGACAAACAGATGAGAATGCTGCGTGGGGTCTGGGTGCCGTGTTGGCGGTACGTTGCGGGGCTCGCTGGTCCGCCCTGTGGGGCTCGAGGAGTGGACAGTGTGAGGTGGATTACTGGTGTTGTTTCCTGGTTGCTGCGTCACACTGTCCGCTCCGGGGGCCTTGCAGGACGGACTAATGAGCTCCGTAATGTCCCGCTAACGATGGCACTTAGTCTATATCCAGCATCCAGGGAAACACAGCGGGAAATCCACCTCACACTGTCCGCTCCGGGAGCCTCGCGGGGCTGAGCTGCTCGGGAGTCCGCCCTGGCAGAGGGTGTGCCTATTGTTCTATAGCTGTGTGACAATTGGTCCAGACTTAATGATGTCAATAGGCCCCGGAAGAAAATCTACAACGAGGCGTTCTGGGGCAGCAGAGACACGTCTTTTCTGTGTTAGAGTTTTACTCGCTAAAGGGTGTAATTTGAGGGTTTGTGACTTTGCAGACCTTTTACATGCAGACGAAGCTACATAACACACAAGGGGACGGGAAATAACCAGAAAAGCATATGATGGGACCTTTAACCCTAACCCTAGAAACACAATTTACAGGTTTCTAAACTTTTTCCGACCCACAACCCCATGTTTAGGGCAGACCATTGAAATTATAGTTGTCAAGTGTGTTATGAAGCTAAACATTGCATTTAGAGCATGGAAGCAGAGCAAATGTATTACATAAGCGACAAAAACGTTCTCACAGAGCACCTATTTTAACCAAGATTTATTTAGAAACTTTTCTTTGGATGAGTCTTGAAGATAGTACTAGTATCTAGTATCCCTAATGGTTATACAAGCTCCCCATGGATCCCTCACCCCAAGGCCGAGCAACTCTAGTTACACAACATCAAACACAGGCACAGAGTCCAAGGTTTAGAGGGTGTGAGAATTGTACCTGCCTTTGTGTTTGAAGGCATGAGACCCTGCGTAGTACAAACAGCTGACAGAGCAGCCCCCGAGGTCCCATACTTGATATAAAAAGAGGCACTGATGTAAGACCGAGAGCTTCTCTGTGACTTACAGGATGAATACCCTACAGGTTATTTTTCTCTTGGCTGCAGGCCTCTCTGTCAGTGAGTACAACTCCACAAAAGTTGTTCATCTTGGTGGTTGTGAACAGATAGAGCTTGTTGTTGAGTAAAACTGTGTCTTTTTGTTGCGTTTTAGCCCACTCACTGGACTACAGGGCTCTGACTCAGTTCAGGAGGATGATCCTGTGTGTGATGCCTGATAGCTGGCCTTTTTTCGACTACGCTGACTACGGCTGCTTCTGTGGAAAGGGAGGCTCCGGCACACCTGTGGATGATGTGGATAGGTCACGATTCACTCTGCGTTATACTCAAGACATTGAAAAAACTACGTTGTCCAGTCTGTTTAATATTCAACTTGACCCATAGGTGCTGCCAAGTGCACGATCTGTGTTACAGCGGAGCAATGCAACACCCTGAGTGCTGGTTCATCATCAATAACCCGTACACCCAGTTCTACAGCTACAGCTGCGACGAGCCAAACAATAAGGTCTCCTGCGACAGTGAGTACACCAAAACAACAGGACCAAAATGACTCTCTGGTACTTTAACTTTATAGGACTGTTTGTCTGCCTTGTGGTACTCAGAATGCTCTCTGTTTCATTATCCTTAGGTGACAACAACGCTTGTGAGATGTTCATCTGCGAGTGCGACAGGAAGGCCGCAGAGTGTTTTGGCGTATCGCCTTGGAACCCTGAGCATGAGCACCTGCCCAGCGACCGCTGTCACTGAACAGTAACAGTAATTGTGTATGTAATTGTAAGGATATCCTGAAAATAAAGACACATTCATCTGGATCTCATTATAACATCACATGGTATTTAGAGCACTATAGTCTACCTTTGGTTTTCAGCATTAAAACAGCAGTACAGCATAGACATTTGACATCTTTCTGTAAAAGTCCCAAAATGTTATATTGGCTTGTATATATAAAAAAACCAGCATTTTTTTAAATCGTTTTTTCACCCAATAAGCTTTTTCATTTTTTTAAGAATTCATATTTAGATACTTCAATGCCTTGTAAACTTTGCTGCATTTTCAGATAGCATGTAGAAAGATTCTTTCCTCCAACTACTTGAGGGAACGGTTTCTCCAAAAATATCAACAAATGTACCAACAAATATTTTATATAGGTTTGTAGAAGGGCTGGCACAATGTTATTAACCACATATAAGTTATTTCATATCATATAACATGTTTTCCGGCCTAATTTGTGAAATGAACAAAGCAGTTTTGCAGTGAACCTTTTTATATATTGACTAAGTTTATATGCACAGAATACATAAAGGTTGCAGAAGCTTTCGAGTAGGATCCAGTTTGTTAATCACATTCAGATCTGGATGCTATTTTGTTTCAACAAAATATTTAGATCACCTTTGTAATTTTGAATCAATATATGTTTATTATTGTTATCAATTTAAGTAATGTAATGTTTCACCTCAAAATATAATTTCATCATAAAAAGGTTCCATTTGTTCCATTGAAGGACAGTGAATCATCATATTGAGTTTTGGCCCAGCCCTACTTTACAGTATGCAAATCAACCATGCAATGGCTGCCATTGTACAGTTAGGGAGGCTCTCTTTTAATCATGTACTAATCCTGCCAGGAGCTACAATTTGTGGCAATAATTCAAGCCATGTTGGCTAACAAAACAATCAATTTCAACTGCGTGTACACTTGTAATTACTGTAATTATTTCCATAATGTGTCCTTCGTTGCTTCACACAACTGATGTTTACAGGTGGATTCAGTCTCTGCAGCTTAGTGTCTTATTTGGAGCTAGCCACCACTGTGTGCTCGTACTTTTAGCCCCCTCTTTGTGTTCACAGCTGTGGCTGCAGCACACTGGATCGGTCTGCAGGCTATTGTGCAGACAGCACTCAGCAACAGCACTGTGAGCACCAGCAGCTGGAAGCTGGGAGCTGGCTGTTGGCCGCACGCCAGCTGTGGCTGCTGCTGGAAACAAGATAAAAACCAGAGAAACGACAAGTGCGGAGACAAATAGTTATTGCCCACGAAAGGGTTTTTCCCCCTTGTGTGTTTATATATGTGTGATTATATGTACATTGCTGTTGTTATGATTGGTAACACTATGATGCCAAAAATGTGTTTAGGGGGAGGATGAGTGAACTGATAACCCTTATTCAGCAAGGTATAACTTCTTTAAAATTGATTTACTTTACTTTATTATTTTACTTACTTCTGAAATCCTCCTCCTGCTGCCTTGATATTATTCCAACAGGATTTTTCAAAGATGTTTTGCCTTGCATGGCCTCAGATCTACTTCATATAGTAAACAAATCTCTTCACTCAGGTATTTTTCCACAGGCCCTGAAAACTGCAGTCATTAAACCGCTCTTAAAAAAGAATAATCTAGATGCTTCAGTAATGAACAATTACAGGCCCATATCAAACCTCCCATTTCTAGGCAAAATCATTGAAAAAGTTGTTTTTCAACAGTTGAGTAACTTCTTGCATTTAAATAACTGTTTCGATGTGTTCCAGTCAGGCTTTCGTCCAAACCACAGCACTGAGACTGCTCTTGTAAAGGTCTTTAATGACATCCACTTCAACACAGACAGTGGCAGAACTTCAGTGTTAGTATTATTAGATCTCAGTGCTGCGTTTGACACTGTTGACCACAGCATATTACTAGACCGACTGGAGAACTGGGTGGGACTTTCGGAAACAGTTCTAAATTGGTTTGAATCCTACTTAAAGGACAGAAACAACTTTGTTTCTATAGGTAAATACACATCTGAGTTGACAAATATGACATGTGGGGTTCCTCAAGGCTCCATCTTGGGGCCTCTTCTCTTTAACATCTACATGCTACCACTGGCTCAGATAATGAAAAACAACAAAATAAGTTACCATAGCTATGCAGATGACACACAAATTTACGTAACAATTTCACCAGGAGACTATGCTCCAATTCAAACACTGAGTAAGTGAATTGAACAAATCAATGACTGGATATGTTAGAACTTTCTCCAATTAAACAAAGATAAAACTGAGGTAATGGTTTTTGGAGCCAAGGCAGAACGTATAACAGTTAGCGCTGAGCTTCAGTGTGCAATGTTCAAAACAACAGATAAAGCCAGAAATCTAGGTGTAGTCATGGACTCTGACCTGAGTTTCAACAGTCACATTAAAACAGTTACTAAATCAGCCTACTATCACCTAAAGAACATATCTAGGATTAAAAGACTAATGTCACAGCAGGATTTGGAAAAACTTGTCCATGCTTTTATCTTCAGTAGACTCGACTACTGCAATGGTGTCTTCACAGGTCTCACTAAAAAATCTATTAGGAAGCTGCAGCTGATTCAGAACGCCAGTGCTCGAGTCCTCACTAACACTAAGAAAGTGGATCACATCACTCCTGTTCTGAAGTCTTTACACTGGCTTCCTGTGTGTCAAAGAATAGATTTCAAAATACTGCTGCTGGTTTATAAAGCACTGAATGGTTTAGGCCCAAAATACATTTCTGACCTCCTGCTAAATGATGAACCATCCAGATCTCTCAGGTCTTCAGGGACTGGTCAGCTTTCTGTCCCCAGAGTCAGAACTAAACATGGTAAAGCAGCGTTCAGTTATTATGCTCCAAATATCTGGAACAAACTCCCAGAAACCTGCAGGTCCACTGCAACTCTTACTACTTTTAAATCCAGGCTGAAGACTTTTCTTTTTGTCGCTGCTTTTAATTGAACTATTCATATCTTAAACTGCACTGTAACTTTTATCCATGTATTTTTTCTTTTAATGTTTATTTTATTAGCTTTTCTTTTTAATGACTGATTTTAAAAATGCCATTTTCTTAATGTCTTTCATTTTTTGTAATGCACTTTGAATTGCCTTGTGTTGAAAAGTGCTATATAAATAAACTTGCCTTGCCTTGCCTTACTTTTTAGATATTGTTAAGAGTGCATTTGTTACTTTGTTACAGTTCATACGTACACATATTAGACATAGTTGCATAGTTATTTTGCATCCACAATAGATCAAATAAATCATCAAACATTCTTGCAGTAGTATAAAAAAGCCACTTTGCTTTAACTTTTGCTCCAGATGATTTTATGATTTAAGATTTATGATTGTGATGCCTACTTTTGTCAAATTCCTCGTGCGTGTAAACCTACCTGGTAATAAACCTGTTTCTGATTCAGATTTCTGATTATTTTGTTATTGTTTGTAACTTTTTCTCATGTGTTAATTAAGATCTTGATCTTGATGTGGCTTTATTGACATAAAAAAGTAAAGCATAATTGGTTTGGTTAATTTGTTTTTCAGTTTTTTAAAAACGATTTTTTTTTTACATGTGCTTCCATTTATGGTGCATCAACTTTAGTTCACAAAGGGCGGTCCAGGGCGGACTCCCTGGAGAGTAGGTTGTGGACAAAGAAACAAGTTTAACAGAAACATGACTAAGACAGAAAGGAACAGAAAAAGCGGACAGACCAACTTTCTCAGTGTCTAACAATGATGACTCCACCCTTGGGCGTGTAAACACAGGCCCACGCTTTTTTTCTGCCATGGATATTCAATATTTGCCATACCAATCAAAAACAGTTTGAGAGTAACAGTTCCCAGCATGTTATTCTAGCTCTCACAACAGATAAGGGAGTGTCTAAAACAGAATGTTATATGCAAATCATGTAGCACATGAAAAGACGCATCAGACATTTGAGCTTGAGCCAAGAGAAACAAAGTTTGCCGGGATATAGTGTAGTTCATTTTCTACTTTCGCTCCATGGCCTTTAAAATCACGGACTGAATGTGTTCATGCAAGACTGCAAAACATAACATTGTAAACTATAAGCTGTATTTCTAAAAGGCCATGTGTTTGATGATTAGGATGTAACCTCTGCACAAGGAAGAGAAGAGAAAGAAAGGTTTCTTTACAAAAATAGATTTATTCAGAACAATATTGCATGTATACTTCACATTTCAACAGGGTAGTTGATCTCACAGAAATGACCACAACCTCTTGACACAACTCATTGTTGCTGGCACGTCATTTCAACCCGTGCCCCCGCCACAGTTACTGAAAATGCAAATGGAAGATATTTAGGATCTTATTTCATGGTGAACACAAGAAATCCCAGGTACGATATGGGTAAAGTTGGGTAGGATGAGTCAAACAAGGGACTTTTAATCAGGGAACTGCTGTTTGTTTCACGTCTAGAACCAAAAGTCAAACATACATTTCATGTCATTCATAGAACAAAGATATTTATTTTATAATTTATATTATTATCCTTTGTCCCTTCATCCGGTTCTGTGGTGTTAAGAGGTTGTGGTCATTTCAAGTAATTATTTGTGATCAACTGCTTGGCTTTAGACCAACCAACGCTGGAGATTTTAGAAAGTCCATGTATGCTTAAAAAATGTAACTCTAAATAAATATGAAATAGTGACATTATTTACATGTTGTCAAAGTTCTGTTGAGGGGTTGGGCTGATCTCACTGCCTGGCTGAACCCTTTGCTCTCCACTATCTGACTCTGCCTGATAAACCCCTCTGAAGAGACTGTGAATCTAAATAGTTCTGGATGTCGATGGTCTTCCTCTGTGAATCAGTAAAGTTCTGATTACTGAGGGTCGTGTGCATAGGCCGATATTGTGAAAGTGTGGTGTAACCACGGAAAGCATCCTCTTGGTGACCATTGGATCCATCCGTTTCCACGAACACCCTGTAGTTCTGTCCCTGGTTATTATCCCAGTGTATTGTTGCGCCAGGTCCAGCCTTGAAGTACACAAAAAACTCAGCTCTCTCCTTCAGATCTATGTTCTTTGG